TGCGGTACTACACTGTTAGTTGGTCACAGGCGGAAAGCATGGGGCTCGGTACCATGCTCTGGACCCTCCGTCAAGGTGTTGGCATCACCTTGACTACAATCTCCCCGTCCTTTGCCTCATGTGTGCAGGGTCTGAAATCAGACCGGTGGCAAAATTGCCACGTACCTCTGCACCAGGTCTTGGACGGATCCTAGATCGTCCCCTTTTGCTCCATTTAGAGCGTCTATCAGGCAGACCAAGTCACTCTTGGCCAATCGCGTCTCAGCTGCGACTGCATCAAGCATTTCATCAGCAATTTCTGGGGATACATACCCGTAAGCCCGGTTCATGAGGTGGGCGTAGATTGCTGACATGCTGTTCTGCAACCCGTTGTCGGTGATGAGGTGCATCAGCTTGAGCTCCCACCACTCATACTTGCGTTTACCGGTTATAATCGTCTCGTCGGTGATTCTGTATCTGTAGTACCGGTAAATCAGCGAGTAGAATGGGAACTGCAACGGGCATTGCTCACACATCATCATGATGGAGAGCATTTTCGTCGCTGCTGCGGTTAAGAATGGGTCGTTTACGTTGAAGGTGATGGTGGCGGCCGCGAATGTTTTTCGGAGCTTTGGAAAACTCCTCATCGCTTTTCCGTCATTGAGTGGGACGAATATCGGCTGATGAATTCGATGCGCTGTGACTTGTCAATAAGTTTCTCAGCACTAACCCGGCCTGTGCGGTCCTGAGGTTCCAAACTCATGCCGGCGGCAGTGTACATAACTGCCGTCATCACTCCAAGGACCTGTCGGGCGTCTTTTCCTTTCTTGTCCTTCGTCTCAAATTTCTGGATGAAGGCCCAACGAAATCCTTTGAGTCTGTCGTCCCCCTCCCCGTTCAGGAACTCTGAATCTTCCTTCGTGACATGAAGACCTTTCGAAACGCGTATGATGGTCTCCGCGAGGCGTGTCGCTTTCTTTTTGACTCCTTCGAGGACTTGGTTGATGAACTCAGGGTCATCTATCATGTTTGTCAGGAATTGAATGATCTCTTTCAAGGTGTAGACACGCATATCCCACATAGTGAAAATCCTCTCAAGCACAAAGTCAATGGAACGGTCGACGAACCAGTTGATGGCGTAATTGCCAACAGATGTCAACCCGTCTCCAGAGTACCTAATGAGGACCTCTGTGAACAGTGTTAAGGTGTCGAACAAAATCTTGTCCTTCTTTTTCCACCTTGTTTTCGAAACATTCTTGAAGTCGAAAGCCTCTGGAAATTTGTTTGTAATAGCCTTCATGATAGCTTCCTCGATTATCCTTCTAAGTCCTGGCTTGCTTCTGTCGACGGTGCACTTGTCAGTGATCGAAGAGTCGAAACTCCCGAAATCCGTCGATGCAAAGCCGCCCGATTTATACTCGTTGTAAAAGAGTCGGACACGCTCGCAGACACCAGTGTTGTCGGTGCCCTTGATACTGCGCTGGACAAAATAAGGTAACCGGAAGATCATCTGCTCGACTGTCTTATTCATCAAGGCCGAGGCAGCGGTGCCTTGTGGGCCTGTGTGTTGGATCAGTCTAGGCTTGATCTTCCCTAAAGCTTCATTAGGCTTCACAAACGCCTTGGTAGGCGGGAGCTTCGTCAATTCGGTGCCAGAGGTTGCCTCGAAGTTGTCTTTCTTCATTTGCTCCGTGAAGCTGCTTGGAGCGATTTCGTCAACCGACTTGTGCATGGGGAATAGGGATTTCCCATGCAACTCCGAGACGATCTCGCTTTGCGGTATCTCCATTAGTTCTGTGTCCTGCCTCCGAATGGTCTCTTCATCAATCTCGAGGATAGCAGGGAGAACTTTGTCGACTACCGCATGGACAGCTCTGCGGATTAACTCCCATGGATTGCCTATTTGGTTCCTGAACACAATACCGTCGTATTCTACCTCGGCAAATTTCTCTGCATAATGCCGGTTCCCTATTCCGGCGATAGCATTCGAGTGGGAGTTGCATGCGACATGAATTGCCGTGATGTCTTTGTCTGTGACACCTGGCATGGCGATCCTCGCTTTGGCTGTCACTTGCAGCTGTTCCAAAACGTCGTCGTCAACGATGCAGGATTTTGCCTCATGCTCGAGGACAGCGAGTGCCTCCATCTTACGACCCATGTCTTTGCGTAGGTCTACCTTTTCCCAATCTGTGATGATCTGGACTCCCTCCATGGGCTTTCCAGCATCAGCAGTCGTGTAAGGGATTAGTGGGGTCCCTGGTTCAATGAACCTAGACGCACCAGCTAGGTTGGAGCTCCCAGATGGTCTTTGTTCGTCTGCCGTTGGAACAGTCGCAGACGGTGCTGACGCATCAGCACTGGGCCCACTTTGCGGTCCGGTGACACGAACACCGGTCTGGGTGCCAAAATGGCGATTGGGGAGGAACTGAATGTCCCCCCCCAGGGTCAAAAGCTCCGCCCGTACAGCATGTGCCAAGTACGTCTGGTAGCTGTACTGCTTGTCTAGAGACGGCTCTTCGACTATGGCTGAGTGTGTGAGGTTGATGTTAGCTAACATCCCTTTGGACTTCTCGCGATCAGAACACACCACGTGTTGTGCGCGATGTAGAAGTCTGTGGTGGTACCTCTCAACCGTGTACATCGGCCTATCTCCCGCGACAAAATGGCGGAGGGTGCATCCAGTGCACCGGTGAGCAAAAACTCGCGCCTGTACATAGCGATCGTCCTCACAGTACGGAGCGGTTGGAAATCCTGTCGGAAGACAGTAATGGCAAATTCCGCCTTCACGGACTGCCATCAATTCTCCAACCTGCGATCGTCTCGACAGGCGAAATGCAATGTCCCACTGGGTGAGCACATGTGATGTAAATGACCCAATATCCCAGATCAGGCGTCTGAGGACTTGGAAAAGCATGCTAGGCTGTGGAATGCCTGTGCTGAAATACGAACCAATCGATAATAAGGCAGCACTAATGTAACAGAAATGAATGAAGCCGGTGGATTTGAAAGCTGCGATTTCGAGGAAAAAGAGTGAGACGTCAAAACTTGCCTCAGCAAACCACGCAGTGTGAAGAAGGAGTGCAATACTTCTTCCGCCCGTGGTTGCACGACTCTGTTTAGTCCACTGCCTCGAACTCGACTGTCGCTGCCATCCTCACCTCCGGCGTCGTCTTCACTCGGAAAGAGTCCTTCCAGAACTCGAGCTGCTTCAACACTTCGGCATCGCAGCGTGCTCCATAGATAATAGAAAGGATGCGCCTGTATGGACACTGTCCCGTACGAGCTGTGCCACGACGGTGTTTCGCCCGACTCTTCCGATGAATCCGAGCATCCGACCTTGGCCATCCGCCCAAGGTCCTTCAGCTCCTCCCACGCTCTGGCAGTCAGTCCGAAGAGGACTCTGCCGCCCATAGGGTTCTTCGAAGATGGCACAGTCTTCATGAGGGCTAGCACCATCGGCCAGGTGTCCTCCAGAAGGTTGCCAATCTTCTCCCACCCTTGCGTGGAAGTCAATTGTGGGTGCATGAACCGATCGCGTGAGCTGTACAGCGTCGACCAAAAATTGCCAGAGTATAGCAAAACGGCCGCAGCTCGATGTCTCCCCGGTATCCCCTGCTTGAACTGTCCCATCCGGTACGCTTCCAAGGTCGTTTCGCTGAACTCCTCTTTCGTGGCGTAGGTCTCCAGATAGTCCACAAGCTCGTCCCGATCCATTATACATTGGCTCACGCCAAAAATCAGGGGGATGTTCATGTCGATGAGAGTCATCTCGATCTCCTTGTCGTCCAGCCCCGACCTCTCCACTGTCCTGTGGAGCTTGAGGTCGTTCTTGATGCTGAGTAGGTGCGCTGTCACCAGCGCCGGCTTGCATGCCATGTCCATAATCCGATGAAGAGCCTGTACCGTCTCCATTTTGGCTCAAGGGCTCCGTATCTGCACTGGTCGCGAGTTGCGAAATGGTTGTTTGCAGATACAAAAACTGCGTGCGCTATTGCCTCAAGGTTTGTGGAGCACCTTGAGCCAAAATGGTTTAGGGTTTAGGGTTTAGGGTTTAGGGTTTAGGGTTTAGGGTTTAGGGTTTAGGGTTTTAGGGTTTTAGGGTTTTAGGGTTTTAGGGTTTAGGGTTTAGGGTTTAGGGTTTAGGGTTTAGGGTTTGGGGTTTAGGGTTTAGGGTTTAGGGTTTAAGGGTTTAGGGTTTAGGGTTCAGTCTCCGAATTCCGCGCCCAAGCCAAGCTGCAGAGTTTGGCACTCGCCGTGGACTTTGCCGCATGCGCTCGCCAGTGGCAAAGTTGTGGTAGTACCTGTGCCACCATTGGTTCCCCGGAGACTCCAAAGCCCCTTAAGTAAGGAATATACCTTAACTCATATTAGGGCTTATTTGGGTTCCCACTACAATTTAAGGGTATTACTTAATTAAGGGGTTTTGGGGTTTTGGAGTCTCTGGTTCCATCAACAAGGAGCGCTTCGAGGTTCATGGTACTTATTAACCAATGATAACTGTGCTTACAACTATACTTATAACCGTATTAGGGCACTTCTGGGGCTTATAAATGGGATATAACTGTGAACCTTCAAGCGCAGGAGACAGGGAGAAGTGAGAGAACCGACAAGTGAGAAATAGTGCGCAGATAGCAGTTAGAGAGAGCAAGAGAGAGGCTGGCTTGTTTCGAGGGGTGCTCTGTTGCATCTTGATGTACAATTTCGGCGGAATTTCTGGGGGGAGGGGGCTGCAGAATTGCATCCACAGAGCTCTTTTATTGCGCTCATTGCAGGGGGTTGTCAGTCCCTTCCCAGCCTCACACCACGAGCGTCATAAAAGGGGTGCCAATCGGTGCTCAGGACTGACCTCTGCCAGCAGATGGGGGGTTTACGAACATAGGGTTTAGGTTCTTTTTTTGGTACCAAGGTTTAGGGTTTAGGGTTTAGGGGGTTTATGAAAATCGGGGGTGCCTTATTGGGGTCCTTATTACAAAGGAATTCTACTTTTTGGGAGTTCGGGGTCCCCTATTGTCGCTAGAACTTAGATAACACAGCAGAGCGCGTGTGGAAGGGGTGCTTTAGCCAAAAGCTAGCCTGCTATCACCATTTGCGAAAAGCATTCACGGGCATCTGCCAGGGGGGTGGGGGTTGGGGGGTGGGGGTTGGGGTGTGGGGGTTGGGGGGTGGGGGTTGGGGGGTGGGGGTTGGGGGGTGGTGGGGGTTGGGTTGGGGTGGGTGGGGGTTGGGGGGTGGGGTTGGGGTTGTAAACAGTTGACTCATGGCTAGAACAATAAGCCGAAACAAAGGAGCTAAAATGATGTTCTTCCGCCCCTGCCCAAAAGTATGCACATATTCTGCCAAGTGGGAGGCTGCTTGTCACGGCAACCCGAAACCCTGAACTGCTTCGGGCTTGACCCTGAGGTACTGACTCATATGCTGAGTCGTCCAGTGCCGGAAGGTCCTCAGGCTTGACGGCCATCTTCTTGACACGATCCTGGCATGGGGAAACGGTGGGCATCGCAAGGCTTCTGTGGTGTTCTGTGCAACCAGAATCTGCCAACATGTGCACAAGGAGTTCAGCTGTTCCATGACGGTGTTGCGGTTTCTGACTCTGAAGCCTTGAAACTGCTGGCTGAAACGTTCAAGCCACCTCCCTGCAGGCAGACAGCTCTGGCGGTCTAATCAGGGCTCCGGAGGCATCGACTTTTCAGGAGATGTGACTTGAGTTCGAGGGATGATCTCTCAGCAACCCACCTTTTCAATCCTGACAGCATGCCCGCAAACACACCGCGGCCCTGTTTTAACCTCTCCGGATCTCCACCTTGGCAAACTCAGCGTACCTGTTGTACCTGCAGACAGCAGCGTGTGTGCCCTCAAGTTCGGCTCATCGAGGACAAGGAGGTACCAGACAGCTCTTGAGATGTTCCCCCCTTATAAGCTGCTTGTATTGCCAGCACATCGTCAGTCTTTGAGATGTGTCCATGGCCCCCCCTTTGCTGAGGGCCAGACTGCTCCACATAATTTATTCTTCTGGGCCTCAGGTTTGCCACAGGAAGCCGAGAAAACATGCCATGGCAAAGGTCTCAGACCGTCTGGTATGGGACATCCATGCAACCCCGCTACGAATCTGCAATCGCCGCAATATCAGCCTCATGAATGAACTTTTACCTTCCTAAACCCCAAACCCTAAACCCTAAACCCTAAACCCTAAACCCTAAACCCTAAACCCCAAACCCCAAACCCCAAACCCTAAACCCTCTCTCTCTCACACCCTAAACCCTAAACCCTAAAGCCCCGCATCCTTTGGGCTGCTGCTACAAGCAGCAAAACGCTGCCAGGATGCTGGTTCTCTTTGCCGTCCAGAGGGAGCATCTTGATGTGCTTCATGGCGTAGCACTTGTGACCTGACAACAGGGGTTTTTGGGGGGTTTAGGGGGTTTGGAGGGGTTTAGGGGTTTTTGGGGGTTTAGGGGGTTTTTGGGGGGGTTTAGGGGTTTTTGGGGGTTTAGGGGTTTAGGGTAAAGGGCAACAGGGCAGAGAGGGAGGTGCTTCAGCAGCTGGCCGCGGAGTGGAAGTTGCATGGAATCGGTCTGTGCCTGAATTGAGTCTACTTTGACTGAGCCCGGTACATAAGGACTTGTCCGTAAATGTACCTTACTTATCACACGTCTCAGGCGTTGATCTGCCAAATTCGGCTTGCACAAGTTTGATCCCAGCACGCTGAGCATGCAGCAGTGAATCTTGGCCGGAAGCACCACGCACAAAGCGCAGGGCACCAAGCAGAAAGGCCTCGGCCCCCATCCCTCCACACCAAGCAGGGGAAAGACCGCAAGCTTGCGTGAGAAGCTCGCGGCTTCCTTCCTAGGCCCGCTTTCTGAGTGCTCCGCGCATGCTCCTTGCGCGAGCCTGTTGCGGAGGATTTGCATGGCTTGCGCTGGAGGGCAAGGTCTACACTGTAGTCTACACCACTGGCTAGAGTGCTGGACCCTACAACGCTGACTTGTAGGGCTCCAAGAACCCAGCCTTTCCCATGCAAGTCCGCATAGCACTTCAAGCACAAGTAGTCCTGGCCCCAGCATATTGCAGGAAACGCACCCTGACAGTAGGCAACGACAAGCAACCACACGGCCCTCATGACTTGGGAGTGTTCCCCCTTATACTATCAGCCCTTCATAGGGATTATGGTACCCCCCTAGTATACTAACAGCCCTTAATAGGGATTATGGTACCCCCTTATACTAACAGCCCTTAATAGGGATTATGGTACCCCCCTAGTATAAGTTCTATTCAAACAGGGCTGTTAGCATAAGGGGGAAACATCTCAAGCCATGAGCTAAACACACACGCGTCCTTGCACTCCAGGCCTTTGTGGCTTCAACTGCTGTAGGGTTTAGGGTTTAGGGTTTAGGGGGTTTAGGGGGTTTAGGGGGTTTAGGGGGTTTAGGGTTTAGGGTTCAGGGTTTAGGGTTCAGGGTTTAGGGTTTACGGTTTAGGGTTTAGGTTAGGGCTTAGAGCTCGAATCTGATGGAAAAAGGCCAAGTCCCTAAGGGGCCTAGAGGATTGTGCCCGCACCACACGAGCCGACTTTGTGGGCGAAGATATGAGAAAGTAAAAAACGATACTGCTTAGCAGGCTGGTGGCAAAAGCTGAGGGCCGTGGTCTTGCAGTTCACGCCTCACCAACACATTCTCGCATGACAGGTCTATTCCAAAGCTACGTGTACTCGGAGGTTCATGGTACTTATTGCCCATGTACTTATAACCATATTAGGGCACTTAAGGGGCTCATCCGTGGGTTATAAGTACAGTTCGAGTTGGTTGAGAAGTACTATGAACCTCCCAGTATGCCTCAAGTTGCTTGAAGGAGAACATACATGAACTCAGACAACCACAATGCAGTTCGCCAGCAGCTAACTTGTTGAGGTCGAACTTGACATCCTGCAGTTTGCCGAGACCACGAAGGGGGTTTCGGAAATTCGGGGGTCCCTTTTATGGGGGTCCGTATTCTAAGGGAATCTTCGTATATTTTTTGGGTGCCCGTATTTTCTTAAACCACCATAACTGGTTGAGTGCTTCGGTGGGGCAACCTGAGACGGACTCGAGCTCAAGGTGGCCGGGTTTGGTTGGCAGAAGTGCCAGGTCCTCTTTGACTTCGCCGGACCAGTGCGCCACCATCTCGCTATACCTGGAGGTGGGATGTCAAATGCGAAGCAAACAAACGCGGGATGCCTGAATCGCTGAAGCGTCACTGTTGTCACAGGGCTTCGAGGATGCCCAGGGGTAGAATTGAGTGCCGCTGCTTGGGGACGACACTGGTGCAAATGACACAACGCGAAGACGATAACGACATCAGCTAACGCAAACAAAGACGCAGGGACACACACGAGCCGGCTTAGCAGGGAGGCTATATGGGGGTCTTCTGAACCTTCGTGTGGGTCCCTTTAAGGGGATTCTATTCTATTTTGGGAGTATATAAATAAGGGGTACCCCCCATTTTTGGGAAACATCCATATCATGCAGAGAAAATGCTGGGTGTTCGGAGGTCTGGGGCCCTCTTCAAGTTTGGAACCCATTTTTCTTAAACACCCTTAAGAATGTATGTCTGTGGTGGCTCAGTAGGAAGGAAGGCAACACCAACAATTCCGAAAGTTCACGAACTCCTCATAACTAACTACTGGACCTCTGTAGTTCGATGGCAGTGCTTCAACATGTCGGGCCTGGTCAACTTCTGCCTACTTCTGAGGGAGGCCTGGGGAAAGAAAGCACCCGGAACACGCACGTACTGGACCTACATCCCCGAGCACGTGGTATGGGGCCCAGTAGATCGTTCCAGTAGCTTCGGAGCTTTGGAGCGCTTGTATACTAGTACTGGCGCTTGGCCATTGTTGTACATGAATCGTGGTATTCGTATGACTTTTATCGCAGTACGAGAATGCATGAAAATTGTCGTCTTCGTATTAGTAGCTGGCTTTTTGTCGGCCTGTGGTTTTCGCTCGCGCGGAATGTTTGGTTGATCGGCCACCGGGGTGGGTGGCCCTTTTTCCCCCCCCCCCCCCGCCTGCAGAAACATGAATATAATACCCGATTTCTCGCTTTTGGGGTGTGAGGGTGGGGAGTTCCTTTGCCATCTTCCCATCGGGGCTTAAGTTGTGAATCAAACGACGCTAGGGCTCCGATAAAGATCGCTTCGTGAATATCCACCGAAAATCCCAAACTACTGGACCCAGTCCCCCCCTCCCCCCCATGGACATTCGTACGTGCGACGTACGCGGCACCCTCTCTTCTGGCTGGTCCTCCTCCCCTCCTCGAAACACACGTCTTGCGTAAAATCCAAAAAACCCAAATCTACTGGACCTAAGTGTGTCATGCAGTTTGGTTCAGTAGATAAGTCCAATAGCTAAGTCCCCTAGTTGCACCGATGTCCTTTATTCAGTTCCCTGGCTTGGCCCAAACACCCCTGCACGGCGAGGATGTCCTGAAACAGTGTGAGTAGCCTTTGTGTGACTCGTTCTTAGGATCCAAGATTCCCTGGAAAAAGTTCCGATGCAACCTTGAAGCACGGCACATGAAAGATAGATCTTGAGAATTGCTGGGTGGCGGGTGGGTAAGGGCCTGGTCTCCAAGATTGCTCCACAATCTTGGATCTTGGATCCTGCCCAATATTCGCCTCACCTTCCTGCCGAGAAGCGTTTGGAGCAAGCACCCGGATCGGGCCTCCCTGTGGATCCCCCCCCATCGCTTAGCTCAAACCCCCTTGACCCCTTTAACCTCCCTACGACCCCCGACCCCCGGACCTGGACCCTTCCTCCCTTTTTTTGCAGAAACCCTCTTTCCTCCTTTCCTGTCCTGGGGCCGGCCCGGCTGCCGAGGCAGCGCGCGCAAGCGATTACAATTTAAGGCTGAAACCCTTTTGCAACCTTAAACCCTGAGCCCCACCAAAACCCTTCTCCCAAACAAAATCTTGGGCCTGGCTCATATTCGTACAGCACAAGTTTTTCCGCTGAGTTTCCCTTACCGGGCTTCCGTTGAGTTTTTTTGCCACCGGCCTGGCTGACTGAAAGTCGCATCGCAGGGAGCATCACACGCTACTGTTCGGAGAATTTCCCGTCCATTCCGGTGTATCTTGGAAACCAGTTCCCCCCAGCGCGTTCAGGGTTTAGACGAGTATTGACCCACATGTGCTCGGACTCAGCAGGTGGGTCGCTTGGCCACGTCGCGCTGGAGCATCTCGTTGCACTCCCGAATCAAGCCGATATCCTCAGTGAAGTTCAGCAAAGCAGAAGGCCTTCTCCATAAGAAGTACAGCTGATCTGAGGAAAGAGCCGACTTCGCACAACTATTGACATGGTTTTGGCATGATTCAAGTCATAGCATGTGCAGGAGTCGTGCGAAACAGTGCCTGTGTCGCGTGGAGATCCCACGGGGCATGAACAGCGCAGATCAACTCGCATGGACCTGTGACTGGACCCCGTGACTCTCGGGTCTGCGCAATGTCCTGCTTTGTCCGATATGCTTTGGCGAAAGCCTGTCACCGACTTGCAATTCTGTGATGATAAGCCTGCTGTATCCCAACAGCACGTGCATGAACGCCAGACATTTGCAGTTCAAGTATTGGCTCCTAGTTGAAGATATACAAATGGGTGGTGAAAGTGCATGCAACGAAGCCTTTTCTTGGCCGATCTCTTGAGTACAGCTAGCAGTTGCCTCAACGTGAACGTTGCATGAACTAGAACCAGGTCCCCCGAGCACTTCTGAGCGCGATGAGGCTCGAAGCTACGAGGAATCCGACAAGCGAAGCACCGGCGGCCCTGCCCCCGCCCCCCACACTCCCCAGGCTCACCCCCTAAACATCTCAGTTTAGGGGATAGGATTAGGGGGCCCCTTGGGGATGTAGACCCTCTGAATAAGGTCCTGTCCAGAAGAGGGTTAAGAAGGGGTTCCCTTTTAAGGGTCCCCTTATCCTACCTAGGACAGTTGAATGAAGGGGAGGTGGTTGCCCCCCCTTTCTGGGGCCCCGGTGGCCTTGAGCTGCGCCTTGCAGTTTCGCACCACGCAGCCTTGAACCTGTAATTTGGGGAGCAGGCGGACACTGTCAGAAGCCAGCAGCCAGCATCAATGTAAGCTCCACATCTACATGCTTCATAATTCTATAAATATATATCTTTCTATGTATGTATACTATATAAAGAATAATACATAAATAAATATGTACATAAATATATAATTATACACAGTATAATGGAAGGGAGAGAGGTGACCTGAAGCAGCTGTCGCGGCTAGCGTGCCTTTGCAAGCCTATGACAAGGGCGCAGCCCCACCTTCACGTCGAAGCCAAATATGTCGGCCATGCGCGCGACGTAAGGCGGCGATATGAGGGGCTCCTGCCCGCAGTCGAAGGAAGCTCCCTTTCTTTTACTCTGCGCGTCTTTAAGCAGCTTTGGGGGGGGGTTCTCAGTTCTTGTTGGTGAGTTGAAAGCAGGACTCAAGTGAGCACGGCTTCGCTACGGCACACGGTGTGCGCACGGCATGAGAGATTAGTACATGGTGGGGGTTTCACGAGAATCGGGGTACCTTATTGGGGTCCTTTTTATAAGGGGATTCCCGATATTTTGGGGGTCGACATTAGGGGGTCCCCTATGTTCGTAAACCCCCATCATGGCAATAGTGGGTAGACGTGAACTCCATTCCAGGGTTCTCACTTCGTCGCGCGACCTGGGTACTGAAACGTGGAATTCGTTTTAGGGTTTAGGGTTTAGGGTTTAGGGTTTAGGGTTTAGGGTTTAGGGTTTAGGGTTTAGGGTTTAGGGTTTAGGGTTTAGGGTTTAGGGTTTAGGGTTTAGGGTTTAGGGTTTAGGGTTGGGGGGGTGAGTTCCACGGTGACCGAGCGCGTCAGTTGACAGACCAACGGCTGTTCCCAACCGCGCCTTTGTGGTTTGTCTTTGACCCGTAGGGCTGATACTTAGAACCTTCCCTCCAGTTCCCCAAGCTGCTACTTGGACATAAGAGGCAAGTCGAAAATGTCGAGTGAATGTGGCGACTCCAGGCTGGACTGCCCATGATCACAACTGGCATTTTCCTTTTGCGGGCTTCACGGCTAGAAGCCTTTAGGGCCGTTTTCTCTTGCCAATGGAAGGGAGTCCTGGTCGTGTTCGGTCTCGACACGCGTGGCTTCATAACTCCAGAGGAGACGGTTGCAGCGCACCTGCATCACCTCGTGGGCTACGCTGAGAACACTTCTGCAGGCAGAGAGCTGCCACTGAGCACAGAGAGAGCGCAGAATGAGCCACAGGAGTGCATGAAAAAAGAGTTCCAGATCACCCAAATCTTAAGCAAGTCATAGCAAGTCGTGTTTCAACGCAGGAAGCCTCGTCGCGGGATGCCTGCCGGCAAAAGTCCCTGAGCTGACGGAAGTAGTCATAGAAGGGATGCTTCCATGTGACCTTGTTCAGTTCGGGGAGATGCGAAGCTGAAATACCATGATGGCTAAGATGGCATTTCAGCAAAAGAGTCCAAAAGAGGGCTGACACATGCTTCTGACACATTCTGGCTGCAACTCTCCACCGGCCTGTCCGCTGTCAGACCGGAGGTAGCACACAATACTTCCAATGCCTGTGAGGACCAGAAGAGGCATCTCCGACGTGCACAAGCTCTTCAAGGCTTCGGCCTTTGTAGCACGTCCAAGGCTTGGGTAACTCTGTCTCCTGCATTGCCTGCACAGCCAGCGGCTCGGCCACTGATCCCCCCACGCACAAGCTCGGCACGGCTTTTTCTCTTAGGCCGAGCTTGCTGAGCACTGAACCCTCACGAGCCACATCAGCTGTGGGTCGTGGGGCTCGATGCCTTAGGGAAGACTCCAGTCTACATGGCCAGTCTGGCAGAGGTTCTGCAGCAGCTTCACACATTTACCCGGCATCTTGAGCTGGAGACGCAGGTAATAGGCCCATTCATCCAGCGTCGGCACAGCTCCTCAGGTGCACGACTCTGGGCTCTGGTCCACGCTGAGAGTTTCGGATTTCTGGGAGTGTAATCTAGGGGCCGGGGAATAATTAGAAAAGGGTTTTGGGGGGTTAGTATCGCAGAATTGCAAAGGGGCCATAAGGGAATATCGGAATATCATTAGCAATTTTTTCCGACCCTTAGAGTAAGGTCCAGGCCGTCGCACATCAAAGCCGGGAACTTGTCGAGCTTCAGGAGCGCCTGAATTGGTTTTGCTGGGATGTTCCCCCTTCTACTAACAGTCCTTTCAGAGGGATTGTAGTGCCCCCCTCTTCGAATCCCTACTAAGGAGCCGCTAGTGGTATAAGTTTAAGGGGGGAGCATCCCAAGGTTTTGTCGAAACAGACCTGTTGGGGAGGAGGAAGAGTTTGGGGGGGGGGGGGGGGAATGGAACGCCTCTGTTGAGATATTACGCGATGATTCAACCCTGCACCGAAACTCCTGGGTTCCCCTGCTACTCACCTCTAATACTATCCCCCCTAGGTTCCCCCCTAAATAGCCTTAATTAAGCTAAATTAGGGGCTTTTTGGGGTAGATGAGAGGCGGGTAGTAGGGGAACCCATGAGTCGTACCCCAGCGTGCCCACGAAGTCTCGGTGCCCCGTCCTGCTGCGTCAGCGGGTCGTCGATTCCAAACAGGACGAAAGGATCGGCGTCCAGGTATTCCAACGTCTCCTGGAGGCATATCACCCGAAACCCTAAGCCCTGAGCCCTTAACCCGGAACCCCATGGTTCTCAAGGGTAACGTGCTCTGTGGTCACTTCTCCAAACATGATGACTTTTTGCGGGGTCCTTATGAGCTAGGCGGCCCCTACCTATTTTTCGGGTACCCACAAAGGGACCATCACTTTTGGAGAACCCACCATACACTGCCGCGCTTTCAACTCGGCGCTCCTCGCTAAGGATGCCCCGCTTCTCGAAGTAGGAGAGGACGTTGCTCCAGAGGTCATCGAGGTCCCGGTACCACCTGGCAGCAGCATCTTTCAGGTTCGGAGCCTTGGGGTTTAGGGTTTAGGGTTTAGGGTTTAGGGTTTAGGGCTTAGGGTTTAGGGTTTAGGGTTTAGGGTTTAGGGTTTAGGGTTTAGGGTTTAGGGAGCTGGGCATGAACAAACACGTCGGGCGTGCCCATCGCTCAGGCTGTCAAGGGGCGGAATCCTTGGTGGACACATCTGCAGTGGGCTGGGCCCGCAGAACTTTCGTTGACAGCCGGCCCGGCTTGAACGGGTTTTCGAGGAGAGCTCTCTAAGCAGAGTCCTTGAACAAAGGTTCAACTGTTTAATGTACAAATTCTCTAACCCTAACTGGAGTTCCGTTGAACCGCGTTTCTTGAAGCGGTTCTGCAAGAAGGTTCGAGCACAAGGTTCCAAGCCACTTCTGCGCACCCACAGCCATTAGCGTGCTTTCTACCGGAGCAGCTTTGGGCTCATGCGCAGGAAGATGTTCTACATGATCAGCTTACATCAGCTCATGTTGGCCCTTCCTTGGGCGATCTCATGTGCTCTGCCAGGGAACACCTCCTTCTCTGCTTTCCAGCTGACCTGGCGCAGGCTCGAAGGGCGAAAGTCGCAGCGGCAGCACTTTGGCACTTTGCGGCCTGATATTGAGGCCCCACAGGTTCGCCATCATCGTCGATGCCACCAAATCGGGTCTCCAAGTACAAAGGTTGACCTTTCATGGTCGCTTGAGGCAAAGAAGCGGCCCAAACGCCATTAATGAAGACACTACGACGAATACCGAACTGCTTGGATCGTGAGGCTCGCACCCTCGTCGAGAAACATGCACGAGTAGAAGCCAACAGGGATGCTTCCCCTGGAGACCTGGCTTGCGCAGGCTGCCGAGTGGAGAGCCCTGTTGAATTGCTTTTGGTGGCTGCCCAGTCTCACAAAAAAAGTGCACAACCCCCCCAAACCCTATTCAAGCAACCCTAAACCCGAAACCCGAAACCGAAACCCGAAAGCCCGAAACCCTAAACCCCTCACCTTGAGGTCGGCCCGCTGGTGCAGGTAGGCATACAGCTTGGCTTCCTGCTCCGTGGGCGCCTGAGCCATGCTTTATAAGAACCCTTCGAGAACCAGAAAGTGTTATCCCTAATTATTTTGCCCTTATAAGAACGGACACTTTTCTTTTTTTTCTTGGGGGGGGGGTTTTAGTAGGCATCGGTGTCGGCAGTTTGGAATCGGACACGGCCCCCTAAGGCCAACAAGGTCGTGGCTCGAAGTTTGCTGCGCGACTGCTTTTCGCACGCCCCAAACCCCAAACCCCAAACCCTAAACCCTAAACCCTCAACCCTACTCGAGTTGCAGAAGAAGGGGTGACCTTCGGTATCCACTTTCTCCAAGAGGCGCCCTCTCCCTATGACCCCGAAGCCCTAAACCCTAAACCCTGCAGCACCCTGCTTTATAATATATACATATGTATGTATATATATATATATATATTTTATATTATATTATATTATATTATATTATATTATATTATATTATATTATATTATATTATATTATATTATATTATATTATATTATATTATATTTGTGAAGTCGACCAGCACTGGACTTGCACTAAGCCAATGCAATCACAGCCCGGTCACGCTGTTTTACGACTTCGCGAGTTCAAGCACTTGTGCAGCTACGCCTGAGTGCGTCCGGTCGGACCGCACAGCAACCTAAGAGCTACTGTACGACACTACCGTGCTCAAAGGCACAAGCTCGGTACTTGAGCCAAAATTGGCATTGAAACGAATTGCAAACCTACACATGCAAAGAAGACTACAGTACTGGTCCTGGCAGCTCTGCACATGCAACGTGCGTGCTTAGACCTGCTCACATTCGCCCCTCAGCCGAGGCTTCCAGCTCATCTCGAGCTCTGAGTGCAGCAGGCACTCGGGCTGATCACAGAAAGGGAAGGGAGAGGGTGTCGCGTGCGACCGCGGTGGTCCGCACATCATGAGCATTGGCATGCGGCAGGGACGCTAGCCCGCACCACCACACGAACGCACGACGACAGCAACCCTCAGCAGCCCTTAACTACCCTTTCCCAGGAGGTCCTCACCCTTTTGCTGGTGGGCGAGGCTCTTGAATCCTCGAGCTGGTCTCTAGCTGCCAGTACGCAGACTATGGTACAAATGGTACACTGTACACTACCGGTCCTAAGCTACGGCTACGGCTACTCACCTATCCGGAACTACCCTACGGGCTACCAGACTCAGTGAGAGCCGCGCACATGGCTCGTGCCGCGGGCAATGCAACTCACACGCGCTTCGGCGAGCGCATTGCCGCGACCAGGACACGGTCCGCAGCACCTGCAAAAGAGCACCCTCAGCACGAGGGGCCACAGGCAGGGCGGAGGAGAAAGGTGCGGGGAATGCAAAATGGGCAGGTTTCCAACCTGCCGCGGCTTTTCGCCCGCAGTCAAGCAAAAGAAAGTGCAAAAGGTTGGCGAAGCAACGTGCCGTGCTGCAACGCCTGCTCTGATAATGCGTGGATGCATACCACGCCGCGCCGACTGGCCGCAGCCTACTCGATACCCTGTGGAGCAGTGTTGGGGGCACGAGTGGCGTTGCCAGCAACGTTGGAGCTACTGGCTCGCTCCAGCTGAGGGCGCTTTGCAACCGCCTCATCGAGGGAGAATGCCTCAGCCGACACCCTCTGGAATTCCTCGATGTAGGACTGTGCGACTGGGTGCGTCTTGGGGACCTCAAGCTTAAGCCCTGCCTCCGCATTGGCTTTGCTGCTTGTGGTAAAATTGAGGCTCCCAATCAGCACCACCGCGCCATCAGGCCGCAGTAGGCATAGGGCCTTGGCATGATGCAGCCCTTGAATCCCGGTGCCTACCTTAGCCCCGCGGCCGTCGCGAGCATAGGCGTCGCGCACGGATGTGCCACAACCCACCTTCACTTCGGCACCTGCAGCCGCCAAGCGTTTCAACGCTTGCCACTGAAGCTTGGTGCGGTGGCATTGCCCCATGTCGGCGACAATCCGAACGCTTGCGCCCTTGCTAAGCGACGCTTCGATTGCCTCGATGCAGGATGGGCAATCTAAGCTGTACGCCCGGATGTAGATCACATCCTCTGCTGCTCCAGACCCCAGCAGCGTTTGGGCGGCCTGAACGTATGGCCCGCCCGCAAGGAATTCCGCTTCTTTGACTGGAGAACTCCTAGCGGGGGCTGGGCCCTTGTTCCTCCGGCCTGGCGTGCGCGCCACAATGGCAGTGGCGGCACGTTGCACGGAGCCGGACTGTGCGTGGGCCGCGCTCGCTCCATCTGCTGGGGCCGCGGCCAGGTCACGACCCGCGAGCCCCTGAAAGCAGGAGAGCCCGCGGCTCTTGGCCGCCAGTTGGGAGAAACATCCTTCACTGTTTCCCAAACCCAACACAACCTTACCCTTTGCCAGGGCTTCGGAGGCGGTACTCCGAATGGAGTCTGTGAGCGCAGGACCCGCGCCTCGCTGGGCCGCGTGCAAAAACCCTAAGGAACGAGCGGTGTCCATTGCGACATCGCAATGCCCGCAGCGTCCTTCTGCCAGGTAAGCACGACAGCCACAGGCAGCTGTCTCCTCCTTGAGGTGCACCCAAACCTTATGGGTCACCCCTTTCTTGGAGCTCGCGACCTCAAACGTCGCTTCGGAGCCAAGGAGCTGAGACAGCCGCGCCTCAGGGGCCGCGGTGTTGCCATGTCGCATATGCGCAATGCGATTGGCAACGGCACGACTCACGTACCACAGAACAGCGCCGCACAAAATCACTACTACCAGAGTGATGGCTGTTCCGGCGACCCACACGGTCCGCCTGGCCCCATGGCCGATTTCCTCGACAACGTCGGCCGAAACCGTTGCAACCGCGTGCATGGAGTCCTCGACAACATGCACAACCCCGCGGTGCAACTGCAAGGCAATCGGCGCCGACGCTGCAGCCGCCAGGCCCCACCAGCCGTTGATGTTCCCGTTGAGGGCGTGCATCAACCGATTGAGGAGCCCGCGACCCAGGAAAAAGGGGGTCCGCGGCGGAAGCGGAACACTTGGCGGCGGCCGGGCCGACCCGCACGGGAAAGCTGGGACCCAGCTTGTGCTTGGGCGGGGTTGGAGCGCGGCAACAATGCCCGCGGCGAAAGCGCCCCAGGCGTACTTGCCCCTCCCCTTGGGCTTGCCCTTGGCATCGGACTTGCCTCTGCCCTTCGGCTTGCCCTGGCCCTTGCCACGGGCGTCTGCCCAAGCACTCCAAGGGTCGCGGCCCTTGCCGTACGTCGCCTCTTCGCGACGTCTCTTGCCGCCCCTCTTCTTGTGTTTGTTTCTAAGAAGAGGTTGGATGGTTTCTTGGTCCATCGCACGATTGGCCAGAAGGATCTCGTACTCCAGCTCGTCCTGGCTGCTTTCGGAGCCCGAGTCCCTCTCTTCGCCGCGCCGCGGATCAGGGATCCCGCGAGAAACGACCTCTGCCAAGCGGAGAGGCGTGCTGCACCGAAAGCACAGCTGCCTGAATGAAAGGTTCCATTCATAGCAGTTAGGGCACTGCCACCCTGCTATGCGGAGCGCCTCGCTGATGTGATCATCGCGCTCCGCCTTCTCCGCCTGGCGCCGCTCTCGCTTCTTGGCGCGCTCGGCCGCCTGCGCCTCCTCGGCCGCCTGGAGGGCTTCAGCGAGTTCCTCATCGCTGAGAAGCCTCGCGGCATCTGCCCGCGCTTGTTGTTCTTCAAGCTCTTCGGCAGAAAACCTCCGCCGCCATTGCTCCGGCGCGGTTTGAGGATCTACCTCCCACCACCCGATGTCGATCCCATTGATCCATCGGCCGTCGCACGGGGCGCCCGCGTGCGTGGTGAGGCACTGGTCCTCGGTGACCGGGTTAATGGCTTCGCAGAAGAAGCACCGCCAGCTGCCGTAGGGGTAAAAGCGGCCTTCGGCGTAGGCTCGGTTGGCTGGGAGGGCGACATCGTCCGCCTCATCCGCGGTGCCCTCCTCCATCTCAACCGAGACCTCCTCGTCTTTGACAACCTCTGTTTCCTCCTCCTGTTCCTCCTTGACCAGGGGCTCTTCCTCCTCCCGGCCAACTTTGAGGTGGGACTCAGTGCGAACCTCGGCGCGCATCAGAATGACGTCAAGGCTGTCCGCGGCTGGGTCGCCCGCGAAGAAGGAATCGATCTCCTGGGCATGGAGATCGTCAAGAGGCGTCACCAGGTCTGGCGAATAATCCCGTTTGGAACGACGCTCCGCAAGGCGTTGCTGAACGTCGCCCTTCGGCGGCTCGAGGGCCCGCCCGCGCGGAGCTGCTTCCCGCGGAGGTCTCGGCTCGGCCTCCTCTTTGGGCTCGCTCTTGGGCGTGGACCCTCCACTGCTGCTCTCTGGAGCGGGATCCAGCTCCGGGTCATCGCGAAGCCACCCCGGCGGATGACTACCACCATAAATGTGGTGCGACCCGTCCTCAAGCTGGATTCGGTCCCCTCTTTTCAGGAGCGGGACCTTCGAGTGATCGTACCCGTTGGCTTTGTGGTACCGAATCACCCGGAGCATGGGCACCTCCCCATACTCACCGTCCTTTCCTCGGCGGAACAACCGTCCCCGCCAGTCTTGACGAAAAGGGTCAAGAGGTGCGGAGGGGCTGATCCCCAGGTTGGGCGGAAGAGAGGCGCCATGGCAGGCCGCCTGATGCCAGTGGTACTGCACCAGCGACTCAAAGGCCAGCCCGCATCCAGGAGCTGAGCATCCATAGTGGCCGTCAGCGCTGGGGCGAGGCTCCTCTGGGGCCGGGGCGGACTGGGCGGTCCCGCCTCCTGAAGGCCTGGCGGAACTGCTCGACCCCGCAACCCCGGGGGCGTCCTGACCATCGTCAGACACCTCTTCCCCGTCGGCGCCTTCCCCGGCCGCCCGACTCTCTCCCTCTCGGCGCAGTGTTTTGAGGGATTCCTCACGCTTGGTGATCTTCTCTAGCTTCACCATCGCGGTTCCCGCCACCTCCAGTATCTTCGACTGGAGCTTCTGCGCTCTCAGAAGAGCTTCGGACCGCGCGAGGTACTCCTTCGCGCTGCTGACCACCGTTTGGCCAAGCTCGAGGAACCCTTCC